GCAACATGTTTGATCAAAGCTGTAGGAATTACTTTCAGTAGGGCTTTCTTTGTAGGACTCTCAAATTATTGCATTTTTTTTGAATGACAACTTTCCAATGTTGTTTCAGGTCATTGAGGTTTGCAGACATTCATTTTTGTAAAGCTTGGCGCAGCTTTTCAGTCAGGACATTGTGTGGACTTCAATTAATCCATTTCAAAGGTTTTTGCAAGTGTATGGAACTAAATCTGTGTTTCTTTTCACAATGTTTGATTATCTTTAATCTAATATAGCTCAATGGAAATGTCCTCTTTAAAACCAGAACACAGTAAAAAGTACTGCTTCGATAGTGCGGATCACACTAAGAATCATTATGTTTTTTGCTTTGGATTAATAGGATTCAGCTTCTTCCTTTCTCAAATCCTTTAGAAGCAGCAATGATGTACAAGGTTTTCCAGAATCACTCCATCTCTCATTGATGTGGATCTGCTGTAAGTTTTTGTTAAACCTGACAGAGCAATAATAATGTCCCAGTGCAAAAACGATGGTTTTAGAAACGTATATTTTTCTGTTTCATCACTGTGTGTATTTTTGATTAAATGGGTCAGTTAATTTGGAAAATTCACATGTTAAAAAATGAGGTGAAGAAATAAATAAGAAAAAAATGCAGTGTGAAATGAGGTCCTAATGAATGCCCTATAGGAGGTCTATTATACAATTTATATCAAGATGCTTTTCAGCCCAATCCTTTATTATTTCTTCATGAGGAATTTGAAGTGTATCAGCAGCAAAGAGAGAAGCAAATAAAAGAGCAACAACAGATATAAATTAAGCAATGATAGGAATAAGATTAACTGATTGTAGACTCTACAGTTTGGTGATTTTTTTTTCAACCTACAGTTAGAGCAAAATTCCACAAAAAAGAGAAAAAAAGGTGGCAGGTTATATAAAGTGTTATTATAATCAAGCACAATTACAATAAAAAACATTCAATCATGGATGGAACAAACAAAGATTTTTCTGTTCTTTCATGGGGAAAAATTATGAAACTAGTGCAAATAAAAATGTTTAAGACAACAGAAGCAGGAAGGCTGTACAGACAAGTGATTGAAACACAGGAACTACAAACCAGAGAAGATAAGCAAAGAACACAATGGTTTTATGGTTCCTTAGTGTTAAAATAAGGCTTCTTATCTTTCAGCATCTTCCTTTTTGTTAAATATGTTCTTTTTTTCTTGCCATACTATATATTTTAGTTATGCCATCGCTTTCTTAGACATTCTTTCTGTATCACTATTCGATAACACATTCGATTTTTCTCCTATTTGCTCCTTTTTTGTGCACCACTTTTTAATTTCATCTTCCAACAAGCACATGAAAAACCCTCTCTGCTACTTAACTGAAAAGATCATATCAATGCATTTAAACTATATATATTTAACTTCATGTTAAAAACTACAAACAATAAATTTAACCAATTGTACTGTTTAGGTTAAAATGCAAAGCTTGTAAAAAAAAAAAAAAAAAAAAAAACTTGAAAAAAAAGACTTGAGAACACAAAGTTAAAATACGTGACAAAAGGAAGAAGTTCAAGATAAAATAGAAATAGGAAGCTGGGTTATTTTTGGGTTCAATAAAAGTTAGAAAAAAACTTTGAAAATTGGTTCTTGTTTCTTAGTTTTCTAACATGGGAATTATTTGACTAAAAAGGATAAAAAAAATATGTTTATTTTTGGATTAAATCATCGAACTTGGATAATGAGTTGTCAGTAGTTGTAAATTTGAAACCATAATTGTGTACATTACAGTTTAGAATGGAAGCTGCTGACTATGTGTCTTAATGATTGACACATTTTCTTATTATCCAACAGCAAGTGTTTCCCAGAAAACTTAATTTGATCAAATGTTAACTTTATTATCACCACATTTTTACATTCATTGCATTCCACAACATGAAAAAGTCAGAAATGTAAGTTTTTTTGTTGCTTACTCTACTGATACTCAGCAGCTGAGTCTACCAGGTATTTGGTTTAGGAGCACATAACTTGTCACATCTGTGTATATACATTTATTGTTTTAAATTAGATTTAAATTCATATTTGGTTTTCTCTTATTCAGATTGTTTCTTATCTAGATATATAACATAACAGATTATTTGCTGCTAAGAGATTAGTAAAACAATCTGAAGCCTTAATTTTTCCTTACCATGATGCTAGATAAGGTTATTTGTATACCAAGCTTTTTTACTTAAAAACTTAACTTTAATGTGTGATGAACACCCAAAGGGTTAAAAGCATTTCACAGAGCTCCCTGTATGGCAACAAGGCAGAGAAGCACACACAGGCCAGTGATTGAGTAAGACAATGTAGAGAAAAATAGAACATCCGTCTCGACCAATATTGAGCGTGAGCAGGAAACTAACTTCAAATAACAGGAAAAGAAAAATGTTTATCATTTTTCACCCTGCAAACACAAAGCACCTACAAAATGCCTTTGGTTATAATATAGCAGCATTGAGGAGATAGATTTACGACAAGGGGGTGAGGTCATACAATAATTAGAGGGATACTGTCAAAAAAATAATTTATTCTGTTTTTTTATATGCAAAATTCAGCATACTGCTGTGTTTGGTGCCTCTGAAGTTCATCCTAATTACTCTAATTACTCACTTCAAGCATGAGCACACATAGTGGTGTGTAACCCTGAAATGCTGAAATCAGGCTCTGAACCTTTGAAAATGTATCATCTAGTACACAAGGTATATTTCCAAAATAAATAATTTTACATATTTTCTGAGGATGTGGGAAATCAAGTGGAATGTGCTGGTAGAGGAGGACAGGTGCGTCCTCAAAGATTGGGGATGTGGCAGCCTGCAACATTAAAAAGGAAGGAGGTTCAACAGCAAAACCAAAACTCAGAGTCTTATAATACTACTGTTTTTTTGTTTGTTTTTTTACGCTAGGGCATACAATGCAGCTTTAACCATAATAAACAACTATTTAATAAAGAACAATTGTAGATATAAAATAAGTTTAATATCTGATCTTGCTCTTTTTACTTTAGTAAGTTGTGATAGATATAACAATGAGAAGGACAAACTGTAAGGTAGTAATGCAGAAAAAAAACCTTGTATTTAGGGACTTCTAACCTCTGCTCTGCTTTCTTATGATAGTGTATGAGACATAGCGTTTGTAATATCAGTTTACTGTTTAAACTGCAATTGAATACACCAACATTTTCAAACTATATCAATTTTGTGTGTTTCCTGACATATAATTTTTGCCCTATCTTACAAGTGTGTAATATCCTGAGCAGTGTTGTTTTTGACAGTAACCTTAAATTTGGTCTTATTCTTAGTCTTCAGGACAAAAACTATTATTAGTCTTAGTTGCATTTTAGTCATTACGACATGTGATAGTCGACTAAAGGTTAAAAAGGTTTTTAGTCTAGTTTTAGTCAGTTTTATGTTGCAAAAAAAGGGAACCTTTAAATATTTCGAATAACAACCAGATTCTTTACCAGCCTGACAGCTCTAGCCTAGATACTAAAATTGCTGAGTATAGAATGCTGCAGTTCATCATTGCTGTTGGGCAGAACATTTTGATTTATAGGAATCCAGTTTGTGCACTGCAAAAACAATCCAGAAATAAGTAAAAAATGGCTTAAATTAAGTATATTTAGCCTTAATTTGAGCAGGTAAATAAGATGATTTGCCAATGGAATGAGTATTTTCACTCTTAAAATAAGATAGTTAGATAATATTTACTTGAAATAAGACGATAAAATAGTTTTTTCTTATTTTAAAAGGAAATTGTCTTGTTCCATTGGCAAAGTGTCTTACTTACCTCCTCAAATCAAGAAAAAACACACTTATTTTAAGAAAAAATAACTTATTGAGATTTATATTTTTTGCAGTGTGTGGGTTGTTTTTGCGTTTGTCTCTCCCTACACCACCAGGTGGTGCCCTGTCCTCTTTGGTCCTCCTGCACACCTGCGGCTCGTTGATTCATCGCTGAGGAGTATTTGAGCAGTGGACTGTCACTACCTCGATGCCAGAGTGTTTGCCAGTTTTGGGTACTCTAGCCAAGCTGAGTTAGCTGAGTCTAATCTGAGTTTAGTTTCTCTGAGACTGACGTTGTTTTTTATCTTTGCCTTTCGGCAGAAATCCTTTCTGCATACTGGATGTTTGGCTTTCTCCCCCTGGAAGGATTGTTTGTGTTCACACTGAGCAGGGGAAAAACCTCCACACTTCCCGTTCAAGTTCCCACGGAAATCCAACTGGAAGTCCACTCCACTGCTCCTCAGGGTCCAACCAAAATCAAACTGTCCACCCTCCGAGTTCCCTCCTCTCTTGATAAACCCACACCAACTTGATTCAAGGACAAGCAAGAAACCCCCTCCAACGTGAGTCCCGTTTTGACAGCTTTCAAGATCTCAATCAGATTTCCTACGGACCCTGAACCAATCACAGTGATCTTCTCTCCAGACCTTCTAGTTCCGGTTCACTTGTGCTCTGAGCTCCAGATACAACTCCTGTGATCCTTATCAATAAACCTGTTAAACTTTTCCCCTGGTTCTCTGCATGTGGGTCAGATCTCTTAAAAACATCATGACAAATATGGTTTCTCTGTAATGTTATTTGCAGAAACAAATAAAATTGTATTGAGAAAAAAAAAAAAAAAAGCACAGCCAGTAGCTACTTTCCTTAGTGAGGAGTTTGCAACACTGGCAACCCCTGGTCCCCCATCTAGCTCCGCACCTGATGGTACAGAACCTCGGCTGGAAACAAGATAAAACTTTTGATTAGTCCAAATAATTTTTTTGACCATTGAGTTGCTTTTAGTGGCAAATTAATTGTGGTTAGTTCTGCAGCAGACAATCCATGTGGAAGAATTAAATCTAATTTTATTCAACGCTAAAATGGTCCTAGAACAATAGCAGCATAGCCTCTTGAATGCCTCCTCCTCCTTTTTCTCAGATTTCTCTGTAAATCTCCTCAGAGGGCTCCGAGGTTTCTCATTGGCCGCAGCGGGGAGAGAGGAGGAGGCGACGGGCGGACTGGCAGGAATTCCTCGGCTCTCTCCTCAAATTTCATCGAACCGCTGATCTCTGGATAAAACATCACGACCAGAACCGCTTCTTCCTTCCTGAGCGGAACCACTTCTTGTCTGAGCGAAACGGTAAGAAAAGCAAAGGTTTTACTCAAGTTTTTTTTTTTTTTTTCCTCTGGTAAACATAAAGACGCGTTCTTTTTCCGTTTCTCTCCAACAAACCCAAATCTCACTTTTCCTTTTGCTTCCAGATGTGGAGAAGCGTCGCTGTAATCCTGCTGCTGGCCGCGGCTTCATGTAAAGCAGAGGTAAGTTTCAGGATTTTAACTTTTTTTTAATGATTATTGCCTGAAATAAACGACACATTACATTTATGTAAGTAACACCACCCCTAAAGTAAAAACACGCGCTTTGTTCACTGAGCTGCACACATCTGCAAAAGGTCAGAATGAGTTGGGTGACAATGAGCTTTTGCCTATAGGTTTATTATTAGTTTGCTTTAAAACAGGGACAATAAAGCCAATAAAGCTGTGGTTAATCTTCATTCTAATGGCCTAACTGGATTACATGTTTTGGCTGTGAGCCACTATGGTCCCTTGTCTTGCAAATAGTTGCTGAAAAGCTGCTATGAGACCAAACTAAGTGACTCAGGAGTGGCTGGCAGCAAAGGCTGCAGTTGCTTAGGGGCCCCCGACCTCTTAGGGGGCCTGTCACTGACATCTGGTTGGCCCTCTACACAATTGTGGACTAGGACGTCTCATTGCAGATGTAATGGTGCAAAAAAAAAAAATAATCCTCTTAAACCCACCTGATACTAGATTGACTGACCAGACCTTATTTATAACCCAACACATAAACACGACACCAATAACAAAGCAGACGGTGGTACTTTTAATTACCATGTTAATAACTAAGTATACTTCATTAGACGGTTGGTAAAAAAAATAAAAAATACACTCATATAATATGTTTCAAACCGCAATAAAAATCTTAAAAGAACAATTTAATTTGAGTATTTTATTTTTTACAATACGACTTGGAATTATGGGTAATCCAGAGCCATTGACTGGGATCTGTATAAAATGATAGACGGATGGGAGTTGTTGGTCTGTTTTTATCAATACTGCAGGATGTTTTGCTGTAACACCAGCTGCCAGCTGTTTAATGGCACACAGCTCTGTGTTGCACTGGTGTGTCACATAGAATTGATTTCATGTTAATGAGCTGTGAGAAAACTTACCTTCTGGGTACCACACTGTTGCCCTTAGCAGTGAAAACTTTAGGTAAACATGCAAAGGCAGCAATGTGTTGTTAGCGGGTCTGATGGGACCAGAGAATGAACAAGGTTTATTATTAGAGGCTCCCAGCACATTGATATTAAATAAGATACATTTAAATTTCAATGTATTTCTAGTATTCTGTATTCCAAACAAAAAATTACATATATCATGATTTATTTCTTTGATTTTACACAGAAAACAATTAATAAGGCTTCTAAAATAATGTAATAAACTGATTATGAAAGTTAGAATAATTTTATTTAATATTTTTGTTTTCTTAACAGTTAAAGAACAGCTAAAGTAACAATCACAAACAATTAACTGCATATTTGGCTTAATTTTTATTGTTATTGGATTACATATTCTTAATATAATGTTTATTTTCACAACATGAATATGTTTTATGATACCAGCCCATCCCTAGCTTGCCCTCAGCTACTAAACAGCCATGCTGTTTGTAGTTTGGAAATTGTGGTTTTAAGAAGTGTGAACTTCATAAAAATTATAGTTTCCAACCAAAGATGTATTTCTGCAGCCAAATCTGTCCTTCTTGTATATTGCGTAAAATTGTAGTAGGTTATAATACCAGTTTTTTTTTTTTTATCTTTTTGCTAAAGCTCTTGCCTTCTGAAGCCGATAGATTTTAAACTACAAGTTTTCCAAGTCTAAGCAGTAAAAAAGAACTTGGGCATCAGCAGCAGGAAGTGGAAATAAAATGAAACATTAGCAACACATCTTTAAGGTGTCTTAAATGAAAAAAAGCAAATAAAAACTGATTACATTTCTTTTACATTGTGTTTATGGCCCATCCATCCATCCATCCATCCATCCATCCATCCATCCATCCATCCATCCATCCATCCATCCATCCATCCATCCATCCATCCATCCATCCATCCATCCATCCATGCAATTAACGTGCCATTGAAAGATAAATCTTCTCTCAATGTTAATCCCTGTGTGGGATTTTTTTTTAAATGGGCTCCACCTTCGTCTTCGAGGCTTTTGTTACCTACTTTTGTGTTTTTTAATTGTTGACAAAGTTTTACTGAAAGGAAACTTAAACAAAGTGCTCTTCTTTTTCAAAATAAGAGTCCCAACCCCCACGCACAAGCTTTCGGTTGTAACAGTATACTGAGATACAAACAGTATGTATATGTTTACCGAGCGAGTTACTGTGTTTCCAAACAGATTCCTTCAAGAAGTACACATACACACACCCACCAGTTGGCGCTCGATGGTGATTCTCTCCAAGCACACAGCTGTTTGAACACCTGGCTCTGTGCTGACTGTTCATTGACATGCAAAATTACAGGAAAAAGAAATCATTCCTGAACATCTACCTTATTAGAGTCTAGACACTTCAGCCTTTGGCACCAAAACACTAGTTGTTGTAGACTATCTTTATAGGTCAATGGAAATGGCCATTCAACAGCACCTGGCATTGTGGCCTTTCATTCTGACTGTCCGTTGTTTCTTCTGTCTCTTGCTTGCCGGCTGCTAAATGCGCCTCTGTGTCTGTCTTAATTGAATCCATGCTTGTGTCTCGTGAGGTATGGCATGCAGGAGACGGGGCATGTGGCAGGCTGTACTGAATGTAGCAAATAAGGAAAGCATTAGAAAGGCATCCATTCTTGATAATATATGGCCTGTTGACTGTCGTGGGAATAGCCTGAACTGACATACCAGCATGCTGTCTGAAAGAGGTCAGCAAGTTGGAGCAAAGTCGCCTCAGAATAGAGGACATAACGGGTGTGGGTGTGTGTTCAGGCTACAATAGGGGTTACATTATAAAACTGCAGAGAAGGGTGTTAAATAATGGATAGAAAAGTATTTTCTCTGCATTGACTGATGTTTTTATTTATTGCCTTGAGCATAGGCTATTCACCTGAAGACACCGCCCCTTCATTTATTATCAAGGAGAATTGCTGTTTGCTTCTGGAGGTGAGAAATTGCTGCATTTGAAGATAAGCTTCCCAGAAATCCTGGGTGGCTAGGGTCTGGCCTTAAAGCTCTCTGAGTGTTTGTATTTGTCTGCAGGCTGGAAGAGAGATATGCATCTCATGGATAAAATGTTGATGTTTTACTGAAGTGCACCAGCAGTCTGATATGTAAAGGAGGTCGGATGCAGAAAGAGGGAAAGTCATAAGAATTTGGTGCCTCTGGGGACATGTGTGCGCACATGCTCGCTCATAAATAGAGGGAGAAAAATGTTAGGATTACTGTTTTTATGGCAGGCGGTGTGATTGTGCTGGGTGGGAGGAAACTGGGGTGGAATGACACAGTGGTTAATTTTCTCATTGGTGCTCTGGAGTGAAAAAAAAACTGATTTCAACAGGAAAAGGCCCAATATTGAAAGCACACAGGCTCCATTCTCCTTTGCCTTCATCAAGGACAAAGAAATAAAACTGCCTGTTTAGGGGTTCAACCTCCATAACAGGCCTTATTGAGTTGTGGCTTCTGGTATCGACAACATTTCTAGCGTATTAATTCTGGTTCTTTCTCATTCAGTGTATGCTAAAAATATCTGCCCAGGTGGACAGAACATGAGCATTCAAGGGACGCTGTGTCCTCTGTCTGTAACAGCCTGCTCTAATTACTGGAGCTCAACAGTCGGTCATGGATCCTGAGCAGAGATTGTGCAGGATGGCTGGAGAGATAGCATGATGTAAAACAGAGAGGAGACAGAGCCACTGTCAGGCAATTATCACAGGGGGAAAAAGGGAGTGAGGTAACATTTGGCCGTGTGAAGAGGAAAGAAAGGTGGGTTGGTGCTTTGTGTCGGGTCCCTGGAGTGTACGTTCCCCTCATTCTTGGCTTGACTTGAAAAGAATCCTTATTTAGCTTACCAGCTGTACTGGTGCCTTATCATTAAGCACTCTGAACTCACCGGAGCTGCAGACATTAACACATGCACTTATAATCTATGCATTGTGACACAAATGACTTTAGTGTCTACATCAACGTTAGACCCCGAGAGTCAATCAATAGATCTATTTATAAGGTGTGCATGCATATATATGCTTTATGTAAAGAAAGTAAATGAGCCAATTTAAAAGAACAAAGAGAGTTGGTAAAAAGGAAGTAAATGTTCCTACCAAAAGAATCGTTTTCCAGTCAAAGCGTTCCTGAACTCTTTTGTAAGTATTTTTAGTAGGTAGGTTGTTTAAAAAGTACATTTGATGTTACAGCCACAAACCTCATCGTATTTTAGTGGGAGCAGAATTAAAGGAAAAGAATAGATGGTTTTCACACCTTATGAATTTTGATGTATTCCTCTTCATTCTGACACATTTAAATATATTCAAGCATAAATCTGGAGTCACTTAATAAGTAGCTGAAGAGTGTCAGAAAGCGTAGGATTTTATTTTAGTCTAGATGCTGCTGTTTTCTATTTGTTTTCTGAAATAGAAAATCTAAAACTTTTACCATACTTTCAATTTTTACTCTCTGTGCTTTCTAGCAGCGCATTTCGCTACCAGTCTTTTGGAAATGTTTCGCTCAGTTATTCACCTTACTTAATTTATCTTCGTAAAATAGGCTCAATAAGATTGAATGGTGAACTTCTATGAACATCAACCTTTTTGCTAGATTTTGGTCAATGCTTTTGTATAAATTATTCAACTAACCATTCATTTTTTTAATTCATGGTGGATTGAATCAAACATTTGTTCCCTCTGATTAACTAATCTTTCGCTTTGAAGGAATTCCTGTCAATGTTGTAATGTTACCGCCATCCACTAGGGGGCTGTTCACTCTTAAGCAGAGCCTCACTGGTATTTACTAGGGATGGAACGGTTTATGAAAACCGTCCGAACCGTTCTGTTCGATTCGTGTGTATTGCGTTCGGTTCATGCGCCTGTCCTTTTTCTCATAGGCGAAGCGTTTACACTCCAGAGCAGAAGGTGGCGGTACTGCGACCAAAGCCAACCACCAGTAGTGAACAAGAAGCAGAAGAAGCGAAGCAGCGTAGCCGGGTGTAGCAGAAAAAAATCAGTTGTTGTAGAGAATTGTGCGGGTATGGGAGT